ACACACACACACACACACACACACACACACACACACACACACACTTTCTCTCTCTCTCTCTCTCTTTCCCCCTATTGTCTTTACTTCGCTATAGGAGACTACAAGAATGCAGGTGTTTTTATAACTTTTGACGAGAACCTTTTTTGTTCTCGTGGGTAAACTCCACCCACATTGAGTGGACTCTCAGTAGATGGGGGGCATGAATATTCTCTGCAATACGATGATGTGTCTGAACTGTTCATGTCAAAAAATGGTGTAACACAGTGGTCTTCATCTCCAAGTAAACAAYGTGGAAAATAWAATAAATACAGTGCCAGGGCCTATCAGGACGGCAGTAACTCATGTCACAGACATCAAGTCAGTTTTTGAGCTACTCATGCCCAGTTCAATACAGAAAATCATTCTTGAAGTGATTAACCTATAACAAAGGTGTGTTACTGGGGAGAATTGGAAGGAGATGGAAAAAATGCATTTTGCATATTTGGAGGTCCTCATCCTGGCTGGGGTCTATAAGTCAAATTATGAATTAACAAATAATCTATGAGATGCAGAGGCAGGCAGGGCAATATTTCATGCCACAATATCTCTGGAGACTTTATATTTTCTCCTGAGTAAGACAATTTGATAATTGAGAGACGAGAGCTGTCAGACAGGAAGCAGACAAACTGCAGATATTGGGACAATGTGGAAAAAGTGGGATGAGCAACTTCCACTGCTTTAGGTCCTAATGTCACAGTGGATGAAGGTTTGTGGTAGTCAGAGGTTGCTGCTCATTTAGGCAATAAAGTTTATTTTCAATACAAATCTTCATGACTCATTTGTCTCGGTTTTTAATTAGCGTGTCAATTTGATACAGAACAGAACAGGTGTCTCAAGTTCAATTATAAACATCAATCAATCAATCAAACAAATTTATTTTGAACATGATGACCATACAAAGAGATAACCATGCTTAAACATATTACACATATTAAATACAAAATACACATATTTTATGACAATAATAATCTCAACATGTTCGAAACGGAGTAGGAAGAAGTAAAAAACTTATAAACTCCTATCCCGTACTATTTTCAAACATCACTCCTCAAAAAAAAAAAAAAAATTCAAAATGTAAAACAAAATTCTAAAAATATCAATTTAATGAATAATCATTGTTTTGTGTGTGTTTGTTTTTGTCAAATTGATCCTTTATCTGTGAGAAATAAAGAACATAAATTCACAAATATTGATTGAAATTGTTGGTAATGGAGTTAGTAATCAGATACAAAAACGTTTTGGGGGATTTCTTTTGGTTTCTGACACTATAGCATGATTAAACACTCCCCGGGTCAAACCGACCCAGGAACATTATTGCTGTTCCTCAGAAATGAACAGGAAGGTTTACATGTTATTTAAACTTTTTCTGAAATATCATTGTCATATGTCATTTTGCATTTTTTCTTTTTAAGGTTTACGTCAAAGCTTTTCTCAGTATCCTCTGGACACCATGAACTCCAAACTGAGCACGAACCAGTATAAAACAATCTGCTCTCAGCTGGGAACTGTCAAACTCAAGCTGCTCTACAAAGCTTCTCTCCATGGTTTTACTGGAGCTGCCTTCCACCAACTATGTGACAACCACAGTCCCACTGTGTCTGTCGGCTACAACGTCTCTGGTCATGTGTTTGGAGGCTACACCAGACAACCTTTCAGTCAGACTGGACAGTATGTGAACGATGACCAGGCCTTTCTTTTCACCTTCACTGAAAGAAAACTTCAGAAATACCCAGTTGTCAATCCTCAACATGCAGTGAAAATGTTCAACAACAGTGGTCCTTATTTTGGAGAAGCCCTGGTTCTTCTCAATGGAAGCACACCAGTGGTCTACAGTAAACCAGCAGGAGGTCATTACAACTTCAATGCAGCAGAAATGCATGGAAATGACCTGAACCTGATTGAATGTGAAGTCTACCAAGTGGAAGGTAAGCTCTCTGATGACATTTTGTTTCATTATTTCAAGAAAAAAAAAACGTGTGTAAATCAATTTTCTTTTTCAACAGAGGTCACTTTATTTGAGAAGCCATGGAGGGACATAATCTGGGAAACTCAGTAAGATGAAGCCACACATCTGTTACTGTTTAAACATTAGTGTGCTTGAAATGCACTGTTCTTTCCTCCAGTGCATTCTCTGCCACCAGTCTTCTGCATATTGATCCTATTGAAACTGTTCAATACTATTCAAACTTCTTATTGTTAAGAACATTTGGGAGATGCCTGCTATGACTTTTGGGTTTTGTTCCATTTATGCTTATATGCTGCCCATCCAAAAAAAGATCACACGCTAATGTTTCGTTGGACTGCTTTTAGCTTTGATTATGGCACTAATCACTGTGGCATTGTTTGGATAAGCTTCTGCAGTGTCACCAGATTTATTTTCCTCCAGTGTTGCTTTAATTTTTCACCAACATCTTGCCTTGATGATGGCAGAGTCTGACCGCTGTACAAAGCCTTCTCCAGCACATCCCAAAGATTCTCAATGCACTCTGTGGAGCCAATCCATGTGTGAAAATGATGTTTCCCTGAACCACTCTTTCACAATTCCAGCCTGATGAATCCTAGCATTGTCATCCTGGAATATGTCCATACCATCAAGGAAGAAACAATCCATTGATGGAATAACCTGGTCATTCAGTATGTTCAGGTCAGCTGACCTCATTCTTTGAGCACAAACTGTTGCTAAACCTAGACCTGACCACCCGCAGTAACCCCACATCATAGCACTTAGTTAAATACAAGTGGAGACTTTTATTTTGGCTGGGCAGTGTATTAAGCTTTAATTGTGACACAATAGAAAAATGCCATTAGATCAGATTTGGTCCAATAATGCCCTCTTGTGACAGCTTTATGATGTAAGTCACGTGTYAAATTCWAGGCCAGTGCCTTCTATCCATTTTTAAAAATAGATTAATTTAATATGAAAATAGTTTTTGCATCAGTGGTAAACTTTATTTATGATTCAATGCAAAAAAAATATTTAAAAGTGTGGATAATACTCGTCCTGCCCCTGAGTTGTTGGCTTTGAGTAACTGTGTCCTCCCTGAGACATTTAGATGAAGAGTCCTGTATTAATGTCTCAGAATAAGCTGCTTTAAAGCCAGCATCRACCATGAACTTTATCTCATATAATGCACGTTGATTATACATGGGAATTCCCTGTCGGAAAGTGGGAGAGGTCAGAATTCAAGACTCAACAGTGAGTAAAACTCATTCACAGGAGTTTAAGTTAAACACAAAAAATTTATTTCATTACAGCTGATCTTATTGAGGGAAACCGTAATGATCACGTGGCCCTCAGTGAAAATTAATTTGACACTCTGAGACTTCTATCATACTTCCATAAGACTCAAATGATCTCCAATCAAAAAGCAAAAGTCCATCTAACTCATATGTTCTTTAATCTCATCCTCTATTTCCAATCTAACTCTTTTATTTTCAGTCAATTTCTCTTCTACCTCTGCTCTGTTTCAGCAACTTTGTATGAAGCAAACAATAATGATTGAGAATTGACTACAGTGTGAAACAACTAATTTGCACAGTTTAAATGTCTAATAATTATATTTTACTTCTTGTTTTCATGGCTTATTGTGTTTAGTATTAATTTTTACTGTTCATTATTTTATGTGTAGCACTTTGACCAGTGGAAGTTGTTTTTTAAGTGTGCTATTTGAATAAATTAGATTTAAGCTTCAGGTAAATGTATATCACATTTCATATGCACTTTTTATGGTTTCTAGTTAGAAAGGTTCTTTTTTTCTGTGCAGGAAGAGGAATGAGCTGATGGAGAGCATCAGAACCTACAAACCCACAGTCAGGTCTGTGACCCAGGCTCGGGTTTTAATGATTGGACCAGTTGGAGCTGGAAAGTCCAGCTTCTTTAACTCCATCAACTCTGTATTCAGAGGCCACGTCACCAGCCAGGCCATGTCTGGCAGCTCCACCACCAGCCTCACCACACAGGTCTGTTTCTGACTGATACAGTTTTATCATCTGTGTGGTGTTACTGCATCTCCCTCTATACCCCAACAGTTTAGAACTTATACTCTGAAAGATGGACGAGAAGGTAAACCTCTGCCAATCATCATGTGTGACACCATGGGATTGGAGGAAAGCAAAGGGGCGGGGCTTGATATAGATGACATCAGCAGCATCCTCAGAGGCCACATCCCTGACCGTTACATGGTATGACATACCTAATAGAAGTACGATGGAACATTAATTTTGCAATGGTTAGGTTAAACAATTCTGTTTCTTCTCCTCTTTAAACACCAGTTTAACCCTGCTGCTCCTCTGCAAGCAGAAGGTGGCTCCTTTCAGAGGTCTCCAGGTCTCAAGGACAAGATCCACTGTGTGGTTTATGTCATTGATGCCTGCAAGATCTCCATTATGCCCCAAATGCTGGAGGAGAAGCTGGTAGCTATCCGCAAGAAGGTCAACTTGATGGGTCAGTAAAACTGAGTCCTGCTTCACTGTAATAAAGATACAGAGCCTTGAGAAATTATTTAAATCTCTTTCCCAAATTTATGAGTTGGTTGAGTCCATCTGTGTGTAATTTAATTTTGGTACAAACACAGGTGTTCTCTGAAGGCCTCAGAGGTTTGTTACAGTACGTAATGCAGACCAAGGAACACCCCAGGTTGTTGAGAACTTTAAAGGTTTTTAAACATCTTGTTGTGTTCTGTTCAATCCACCATCTGAAAATGGAACAAGTACGGTACTGTATGAAAAACATGGTCAATAATTGGAAGTTGGAATGAGTTTKCAGRAAAGAATTCTCTCTTCTAAAAAGCTTTATTCATAAAAACTGAACTCAATTCCAGCTCACAACCCACCAGSCAGGCAGGACCTGTAAGTTTGAGGCCTTGGGTCTTATCAGAAGCAAAACTAAAACAACCCTATTAGGAGCAGCTGCTGTTCAGGCTGCTCTAAAAAGAATAATGATAAATCACCCCCATAAAGTCACATGTACATAAACATAACTTCCTGGTCACACCCATAGAGGTGGTACCTTTTACATCAGACATTGGAATATAAAACAAGCTTTGTCATCCTGTTGAGAAAGGGCCACAGTGATAGAAACACTGTTTAAAGTACGACTGAAAATACAAGACTGGATCTTAAATACAGTTAATAACACACAAAATTACCTTTAGTACAATTTCAAACCTACCAACATATGGTCTCCTCCATTTAACTGACAAGATGATCAAAGAGAGCATCAATGTGACAAGCAACCAAGAAGCCCAGAGTAACTGGAGGAGCTGCCACAACCCAAAACAATCAGCCCAGGGGCGGTTCTAGGGGCGGTTCTAGGGGCGGGGCCACAGGCAATAATTGTGGGTGCAGTTCCATGTTCAGACACTAGTGGCACTAATGAGATAAGTAAGAAAGTCCAACATGAATCAAACTTACAGAGTTTTCATTAGGCTATGATAAAATCATAAAATGTTAAACGTTTTAACCAACTTTATTTTCCTGATAAGCGAACCTGTAGACCTATGTTTGCTAAATACATGCAAATTGACAAAACAGACTTTTTTTTTTGGTCATAACACAGTGTCATTTTATGCTATGAAGGCTGCATGATACTCTGTCCCTTTTGGTTCTGAGTAGACCGATCACTAAATCATAAAAAGTGAAATGCGCCTCTAAATTCATTGTTGGTTGTTATCAATACTGCACCTGTTTATTGGGTAAAATTATTATTAGTTTAAACATGCAGTTGAGGGTCATTATTTCTTTGGCACAATGACGTGTTACAATTGTTGGGATTTGTGTCTTGTCTGTTGTCTCCCTCTTGTGTCCTCCTGTTCAATTAGCTCACCTGTCAGTAGTTCCCAATTAGTTTCCCTTAGCTGTTGTTCATCTTCTCTCACTCTTCTCATCTCTTCATTCTCCTCTGGATCATTGTATGTTAATGCCTTCTGTCTCATTCCCCTCTGTGTTCCTTAGTGTTTCAGTTTATTTTAGCTGCCTGTCAGCTCCTTTGTTTTGTTTAAATAAATCCTTTATAAATACTTTATCCTCCATCCGGATGGGTTCATTCCTGCACACAAACCTGACAACAATTAAATAAAGAATGAACAAAATAAAATTAAAAGGCACCCCTAAACTTATGGATAGAAATTGTGTTACATTAATTAACCTTAACTCAGCTAAAGCAGTGAGTTTAAAACAGGATGATGAAACTAGATCAATGAAGAATCTGTCAATGAAACAATGATTAAATCAAGTGTTTATTTATGCACGGAAAAGTATGTTTAAGAACCTGTTAAAATACACCAGAATGCAGGAAATGGCATCTATTTCATTCATACTTTTCTGGGGGAGGACCTCCCCCCAGCCCCCCCACCAGTGTCCACAAAGGCCCCCACCCAAAGCAAAAAAAAAAAATTGACAATGGCTGGATTTTATCATATGCTGTGTGTTTGAGAATATTTTATATAGTAAAAATGCATGTAAAATTGGTAAGAATTTACAGTGCAAGCTTTTATTTTTAAATTACAAGTGTTTGAATATGTGTGACTGGTTAAATGTATATATTTTACTAAAACTAGGGATTTGTGTGCAAGGATGTTTAACAAATACTTTGCCCTTTCATAAGTATTGTGGCCCCTTGATGACCTCTTATTCAGAAAAAATCCGCCACAGATCCAGMCAGAGCTGCAGGTTTAGATCAGTGTCTAACCTGGTCCTGAAGAGCCACAGTCCTGAGTGTTTTTGTTATTTCCCTGGTCCTTCATGATTCAGTGGTTGACCTACCCCTTCAGCATGTTTTAAAGTTAAAGCCCATTATTCTTAGACATAATGACAGGATACTGTAAACACCTCACAACGCCTGAAGAAAAGTTCTAATATAGCACCTGTTCATGTTTCCAGGGGTTCCTCAGCTGGTTGTTCTGACTAAAGTCGATGAAGCCTGCCCTCATGTCCAAGAAGATCTGAGAAATGTTTACAAAAGTATCTATGTTAAGAAGCTGGTGAGGATTGTTACAGATACTTACAGTAGAGTTGGTTTTATTAGAAACTGAATAATTTGTACTTTGTAATTCAGATGCAGAAAATCGGTGATTGTCTCGGTGTGCCGCTGTCCTGCATCGTYCCAGTGAAGAACTACACTGAGGAGTTGGAGCTGGACACGAGCTGCGACATCCTGCTGCTCAAGGCCCTCGTCCAGATTTTTCGCTTTGCTGATAATTTCTTTGATGACGTCAGCAACGTTTTGAGCAACGTTCAAATGAGAGCACAAGCAGTAGAAGAAGGTGGCAGGGAAGGAAGTCCGATGCAATCTAGTTTAGACAGACTAGCAGATTTTTAACCATCAACATGTTCATCTGACCAAAACTAAAGTCAGATAGTTGCACTGAGTTTGTCTTCATCCTGAGAGGAAGGTTTGAAATGTTTTCATATAATGCATTACTGTGGTGGAAAAAAAACTTTTTCATGTCTGTTAAACAAAGTGCAGAAATACATGATCAAAAACATTCTACACTACAATGGTCTCTGAGTAATTTTATTACAATAAAATGAGAGTCAACATGCATATACTGTAGCAATACAAGTTGTGTCTGAGGACTAGGGTTGGGCAATATTGGCAAAAAATAAATCACGATTAATTGTGGTGTTTAGCCGATAACGATTAATTTGATGATTAATCCCCTGGAGTCCCTGGACACCCTTATTTCATAGTCACATGACCAATTTAGTGGGAAAGATTTGCTCTTCATAAAAATCTGTTCCAAATTGTGTCAGAATTACAGACTTCAGGCTATACTTCAAATTTTAAATTGTGTTGATAGATAAATAAKTTACAGAACTTTTTTAATGTTCATCATGTTTGAAGCTGAGAGGAGCAGCGAGTAGATTCTACCTGGTGGCATTAATTGTATTAATTGTCAAGTGCCAAAAATTAATCGCTTAATGTTTTTCTGACGATTAATCACACACGATACGATTATGCCCAATCCTACCGAGGACACAGCCGCAGTGAAGCATCTTTTATACTCTTCCAGCAGAAACCATTCCAAACACTGGTTCTTTCTGACATGCAAGGAGTGGATCTTTAGCTGAGCAGCAAGACATTCTTAGTTTCAGTTAAAAACTTTGTATTTAACAGAGGAAAACACCTTAAAATGTGGTTATAGTTGCCAGTGTTTCCCCTACCATTATACAGGCGGGGCGGCTTCAGATGTATGTAGTTAATCATAATACCTTCTAAATTTAACCAGGTGTTTCATTGCCTTTAAATAACACAATAATTTTACTGGAGAAACTTGTCAGTTTGATTAAAAAAACAGTAAAAATATTTTTTTCTGTGCAGAAAACTTCCTCTACTATAATTTATTTTAAATAAATATATCAAAGCTACGGAGCCTTGGAGATCTTATTGTTTACATTGACAGCCTGCCCCTCACAAGATGGCGTTGCACTCGAACTATCATCTAAAGAGGGTGTGTCGCCTTTATTCTATAAACCTAATTTTATTCTACTGTGTTGTACTGTAAAAAACAATTTTTGTTAAATAAAATACCAATCAGAGAAACTATTTTTATAAAACAAAAAACAAAAATTTAATAAAAAATAGATTAAAAAATTTATATACATCCATATATACAGTATACACAGTACACTGTATATACAGTACACACAGTACACTGTATATACAGTACTGTATATATGTGTTGTGTGTGTGTATATAGATACATACATACATACATACATACATACATACATACATACATACATACATACAGTACATACGTACGTACGTACATACATACATACATACATACATACATACATACATACATACATACATACATACATACATACATACATACATA